AATCTCATAATATCCTTGTATAAAGTGGGTATAGGATATTACCACCTCCATGCTTTACTGTAGGAATAGTGTTATTTGGATGGTAAGCTGTATTGGATTTCCATCTGACATAATGTTTAGGGTTGAGGCCAAATAATTTCATTTTAGTCTCATCTGACCAGAACACCTTTTTCCATGTGGCCTCAGAATCTTCAAGGTGCATTTTGGCAAAGCTCAGAGTCAAAAAATGCTATACTTATCTTCCCTGTGCAGTGGTTTTGCACAGAGCAGCCCTGATCCTCCTCTTCTCCTTTGATCCTGGCCCCTCCCTCCTTCCAGGTGCCCCCAGAACAAGCAGCTTGCTCTGGGGGCACCAAAGCAGACTTGCTTCTGAGCTGCTGCTGTGTGTGTCCATTCGCTCACAGAACTGTGGCTCGGCTCTGCCCCCTCTCTCTCCTCATTGACTCACTAGCTGTGATTGACAGCAGCAGAATGCATGAAGGTAAAAAACATTGAGCCTGTACAACCACTTTAAATATCCATCTTTGTGTGCAAACAGCTGTGGCTGGCAGATTTGTACTCTGTACAAATCAATGACTGGCACTGCCAGTTATATGTAACAACCCATCAGAGTTCATATGCAAATAGAGCTTCGGACTGACTCTGGACGCAGACAGTGTGTGCTCAGGGTAGGTGCTTGCATGGAGTTTTGGCCACACACAAACTGGCCAAAGTTGATTGTTTTGTTGCTTCTAAAAACAGCAAAGCATCCACAGCTAAACTGCCATGTGAATGTAGTCTTAACACCAATGATCTTCTTAAAGTGTTACTAAGCCCACAACAGTAAAATCAGTCTGTATATGCAGTAAAGCATGCTTGTTATACTCATTATGAAACCTAAGGGGTTAATCTTCTGCATTGTAATCTCCTAGATTGTAAACTTGGAAGAGCAGGGCCCTCGAACCCCTCGTTTATTGTTTTGTTACTGTATTGTCTCATGTTCTGTCCCCCACTATAATGTACAGCGCTGAGCAAACCTTTTGGCGCTATATAAATACTGTATAATAATAATAATAGTGTAAAAATGCCATTTGATCCTGTCTTCTCTGCTCCTCCTCTTGTTCAAATGTCCCCCTCTTATCTCCTGATAGACAAACTGAACCATAGCCCTTCTGCACATGCTCAGTTTAGTGTGTATTGCTAGAGAGGTTTTTGTTTTCTTGGGAGAGTGCATGTGATCAGCACAGGGCCAATCAGCACTGTCCAGACAGAGGTCAGGGGATCTGCATCCTCCTAGAGCAGAAAGAAAACTCCTACAAGCTTTAACCAGTGCTCAGCTTAAGTCACAAGACTGCTCTAACTGCTGGTGAGAAAAGGTACTTAGCACTTTATATTTACTAAAATTATTGCATTTCCATGTTCTGTGTACTGTGGGAGACCAGATACAGTGACTGCAGGGTCCTGGGTTTAGTAACACGTTAAGCCTCCCTTAGCCATCTACAGTCTATATGGACTGGTTCCATCATCAGCTACACATCCTTGCTCAATCCAGAATTTCTGATAGTGTCAGAAATGGGCAATGCCATATGTTAGCATAGCTGCTTGTAGCCTACATCAGCATTGCCTATGGGGGGAGTGCAGTTGGGAGACAGTTGTCACCCCATAACAGGAAATGCCTAAAGATTGTACCAAATTTTAGTTACAGGTATTTTTAACAGATATTTTTATTATTTAGGTAATGTAGGTATTATTATTATTATCATCAAACCAGTATTAAACCCAAAAGCAAAAATGTATCATATTGCAGCATAGCAATTCTTAGATGTGATGATTACATTAATTTTCCTCTTTATTTTCACCTGGTGATCCAGCCAGTATGTCTGTTCTTTTTCAAAAGAACAAGCTGTCTTTCAGATGTATCAGTTACAGGGATGAGACAAATCATTTACCACTGACAGAGGTGCTTTCAATGATCACCTTTTATTATTTACACAAAACCTTTATCCCAAAAGGAAAAAAAAACAGTTTGCTGTAACTGCTTAACTGCTTACCTGGAATTCAGCTTCAATTTGTTGGTGCATCTAAATCTGCTAGTGCAGCTAACACTCCCCTCCCCCCAGACTGACAATGCTGCTGTCCAAAGGTGCCCCCTGTGCTCCTTCATCCAGAGTGGAGGCACTCTAATACAGCAGGTGTATTTCTGAGCAGATCACCAGGTAAAAACAAAGGGGAAAGAAAAACTAATGCAGCCACCACATATAAGGATTGGAAAGCTGCAATATATTACATTTTTGGGTTTGGGTTTAATACCACTTTAATATTAGGTATTTTTATAATGAAAGCTGCAGATTTAACAACAGCTTTTGAAATGCCAATTACATTTTAAACCTTTAATGAGATTTCAGCGATTGGGTTTAGATTTCCTTTAAGCTGCTCACTTTCACACGTATATATTACAAAAAAAAAAATGACGGATTTAGTTTCATGCAAACCACGTACTCAGTAAATGTTACAATGATCATTTCAGAGCCACAAGCAGGAAACAATGCTGTTACCTCGAGTATTTTAATATTCTTACAGGTATCAGTTACTTAATGGGTTGTATTGGTGTCAGGGGACCCGGCTCATCCAGTAAAACATATGATCATTTTTCTGCTCTGCGCAGTGTAATCTGGCAAAGCCTTCCGCGCCCAGCGCAGCCTTCATCTCCTGTCCTATCATCATTTCAGATAACTCACTGCCAATTAACCTTGGACATAATCTCTTCCAGAGCGGGATTAACTGCTTAACCGATATGTCGCACAAATTCATCTGTGGTTGGATTTTCTGTACAAGTTACAAAGTGGGATGAGCTCTGTGTAGAATTGGTGCGTTCTGTTCCCCAGCTCTCAGAGAAGATAGATTACCGTGCCTGTCTTTGTGTATTCCCGCATTGGCCTGTCATACTTGTCAACCCATGACAGGCCGCCGATGGGAGACGCGCAGCCAGGAATGAGTTTTGTTCATCAAATTCTTTTTGAAGGAAACTTATAAAATGTATGCTGGAAAGGCTTGGTGAAACTGCCTACAATCCTGCAGTCATACACTCATATACAGTGGATCTAAAAAGTCTACACACCCCTGTTAACCGCTTCCCATCCAATCTATACCAGAAATACTGCTACAGGACAGGCATGGGTGCGCAAAATCACGTATATACAGTTGTGCTCAAAATAACAGCAGTCAGACATCACTAACCTGATCAATCACTGTTTTGGTAGAAGTGATATTTCTACATGGCAAATAATTTACTAGCAGGTGTAGTAGAGTAATAGAAATCCAACAGACCCAACAGTCATGACATGCATGCTGCTGATTCTGTGTAATTGAATCATTAATTGAAAGGGGCATGTTCAAAATAATAGCAGTCAGACATCACTAACCGGATCAATCACTTTTTGGTAGAAATTATATTTCTACATGGCAAATAATTTACTAGCAGGTGTAGTAGAGTAATAGAAATCCAACAGACCCACCAGTCATGACATGCATGCTGCTGATTCTGTGTAATTGAATCACTAATTGAAAGGGGCATGTTCAAAATAATAGCAGTGTGGAGTTCTAGTAGTGAGGTCATTCATTCTTTGAAAAACAGGTGGCAATTATTGCCCTTATTTAAGGAAGGAAGGCAGCAAATGTTGTACATGCTGGTTACAGTGCATTTCTCTCTGAAATTCTGAGGAAAATGGGTCGTTCCAGACATTGTTCAGAAGAACAGCGTACCTTGATTAAAAAGTTGATTGGAGAGGGAAAAACATATAAAGAAGTGCAGAAAATGATAGGCTGCTCAGCTAAAATGATCGCAAATGCTTTAAAATGGCAACCAAAACCTGAAAGACGTGGAAGAAAGCGAAAAACTACCATTCGAATGGATAGAAGAATAGCCAAAATGGCAAGGACTCAGCCAACAATCAGCTGCAGGAAGATCAAAGAAGGTGTAAAGTTACCTGTGAGTACTGTTACAATTAGAAGACGCCTATGTGAAGCCAAGCTATCTGCAAGAAGCCCCCGCAAAGTCCCACTGTTGAAAAAAAGACATGCTGAAGAGGTTACAATTTGCCAAAGAGCACATTGACTGGCCTAAAGAGAAATGGCGCAACATTTTGTGGACTGATGAAAGTAAGATTGTTCTTTTTGGGTCTAGTGGCCGGAGACAGTTTGTCAGATGACCCCCAAACACTGAATTCAAGCCACAGTACACTGTGAAGACAGTGAAGCATGGTGGTGCAAGCATCATGATATGGGGATGTTTCTCATACTACGGTGTTGGGCCTATTTATCGCATACCAGGGATCATGGATCAGTTTGAATACATCAGAATACTTGAAGAGGTCATGCTGCCTTATGCTGAAGAGGAAATGCCCTTGAAATGGGTGTTCCAACAAGACAACGACCCCAAACACACCAGTAAACGTGCAACATCTTGGTTCCAGACCAACAAGACTGACGTTATGGAGTGGCCAGCCCAATCCCCGGATCCTAATCCTATAGAAAACTTGTGGGGTGACATCAAAAATGCAGTTTCTGAGGCAAAACCAAGAAATAGAGAAGAACTGTGGAATGTAGTCCAATCATCCTGGGCTGGAATACCTGTTCACAGGTGCCAGAAGTTGGTTGACTCCATGCAACACAGATGTACAGCAGTTCTCAGAAACAGTGCTTATACAACCAAATATTCATTAAGTGATTCAAAGGAAAGCAAAATCTTCAAACATTTTTCAGTTTATATAGTGAATGTTTGAGTTTGTAAAGAAGAATACAAACACTGCTATTTTTTTTGAACAGTCTAATATTCACTTTTCTTCAATTTGTTTAGAGGAACAACACAAATGTGATATATTTTTCTTCATGTTTTGATTTGGAATAGAATGTGTAGTGTTCCCAATGCATTTGTGTGTATGGAAATAAAAGCTATTAGAAGGATTTTGAGCTTTATTCACATATTTAACACACTGCTATTATTTTGAACACAACCGTATAAGTGATTTTGCATTTCCGGGTAGGAGCCGCGGCTGTCAATCACCGGGTCCTGGCCGGTGATTACTCTCCGGTGCCCGGTGATTGCAGAGAATCTCCGACAGGGAGGAGAAATGTTTGTGAACAAAACAGTTCTCCCTGTCAGCTCGTGCACATTACTTTGCATGGCTGTGCACAGCACAGCCATACAAAGCAGTGTGCTTACAGTGAAGCACACACATATGGCCCCCCATAGTAAAACACACCCAGCACAGAGTTAACCCTTTGATCACCTCACATGTTAATCACTTCCTGCCCAGTGCCATTAGTACAGTGTCAGTGGTTTTTTTTAGCACTCATCACTGTATTGGTGTCACTGGGGATGTCAGTGACACCAAGTCAGTTTCTTTCAGTGTCAGAATGCCCGCCACAGTCCCGCTATAAGTCACCGATCACCGCCATTACTAGTAAAAAAAATTCCTATACATATACCACCAGTTGTAGACGCTACAACTTTCACGTAAACCAATTCATTTACACGTATTGGGATTTTTTTTTTCAGCAAAGACATGTTGCAGTATACATTTTTGGCCTACATTTAAGACATAATGTGATTTTTAAAAATTTTTTTACTGGACATGTTTAATAGCAAAAAGTAAAAAATTATGTTTTTTTCTCAAAATTGTCAGTCTTTTGTTTTTATAGCAAAAAATATTAAAAATGCACAGGTGATAAAATACCACCGAAAGAAAGCTCAATTCGTGGGGAAAAAAAGGATGTAAATTTAATTTTGGGTGCATATGCATGACCGAGCAATTGTCAGTTAAAGTAACTCAGCGCCGTAACGCAAAAAATGGCCTGGTCAGGAAGAGCGGTAAATGAGACAAGGATAAATCATTTCACAACGTATTCCACCTTTAATGTGACCTATAAACTGTGCAACTCAATTGAAAAACAAACTGAAATCTTTTTGGAGGGGGGAGGGAGTAAACATAAAAAAGTAAAATAATGTGGTTGCATAAGTGTGCACACCCTCTTATAACTGGGGATGTAGCTGTGTTCAGAAATAAGCAATCACATTCAAAATCATGTTATATAGGAGTCAGTACACACCTGCCATCATTTACCATGCCTCTGATTAACCCAAATAAAGTTGTTCTAGTAGATCTTTCCTGACATTTTCTCAGTCGCATCCTACAGCAAAAGCCATGATTTGCAGAGAGCTTCCAAAGCATCAGACGGATCAGTCAGGAGAAGGGTACAAAAGAATTTCCAAGGCATTAGATATACCATGGAACACAGTATAGACAGACATCAATAAATGGAGAAAATATGGCGCAATGAAAAGACTAGAAGAAAACTGGTCTGGGAGGCTGCCAAGAGACCTACAGCAACATTAAAGGAGCTGCAGGAATATCTGGCAAGTACTGTGACAACAATCTCCCGTATTCTCCATATGTCTGGGCTATGGGGTAGAGTGGCTAGACAGAAGCCTTTTCTTACAAAGAAAAACATCCAAGCCCAGCTAAATGTTACAAAAACACATCTGAAGTCTCCCAAAATCATGTGGGAAAATGTGTTGTGGTCTGATGAAACCAAGGTTGAACTTTTTAGCCATAATTCCAAAAGATATGTTTGGTGAAAAAACAACACTGCACATCACCAAAAGAACACCATACCCACAGTGAAGCATGGTGGTGGCAGCATCATGCTTTGGGGCTGTTTTTCTTCAGCTGGAACTGGAGCCTTAGTCAAGGTAAAGGAGATTATGAACAGTTCCAAATACCAGTCAATAATGGCACAAAACCTTCAGGCTTCTGCTAGAAATCTGAACATGAAGAGGAACTTCATCTTTCAGCATAACAACGACCCAAAGCATACATCCAAATCAACAAAGGAATGACTTCACCAGAAGAAGATGAAAGTTTTTAATGGCCCAGCCAGAGCCCAGACCTGAATCAGATGGAAAATCTGTGTGGTGATGTGAAGAGTGCTGTGCACAGGAGATGCCTTCGAAATCTGACAGATTTGGAGTGTATTTTGCAAGGAAGAGTGGGCAAATATTGCCAAGTCAAGAAGTGCCATGCTGATAGACTCATACCCAAACAGACTGAGTGCTGGAATCACATCAAAAGGTGCTTCAGCAAAGTATTAGTTTAACCACTTGCCTACCGGGCACTTCTACCACCTTCGTGCCTAGGCCAATTTTCAGCTTTCAGTGCTGGCGCACTTTGAATGACAATTGCGCGGTCATGCAACATTGTATGCATATGATATTTTTATATTTTTTTTTTCACACAAATAGAGCTTTCTTTTGTTGGTATTTAATTGCTACTGCTTTAATTTCTGTGCTATAAACAAAAAAAAAAGAGCACAAAAAAAATTTTTTCTTTGTTTCTATTATAAAATTTTGCAAACAGGTCATTTTTCTCCTTCACTGATGTGCGTTGATGAGGCTGCACTAATAGGCAGCACTGATAGGCAACACTGATGATGTTGCACTGATAGGCGGCACTGATGGGTGCCACTGATGGGTGGCACTGATGGGCAGCACTGATGAGTGGCACTGCAGGGCACAGGTGGGTGGTACTGCAGGGCACAGGTGGGTGGCACTGCTGGGCACAGGTGGTACTGCAGGGCACAGGTGGGTGGCACTGCTGAGCACAGGTGGGTGGCACTGCTGGGCACAGGCGGGTGGCACTGATGCGCACAGGTGGGCGGCACAGGTGGGTGGCACAAGTGAGCGGCACTGCTGGGCACTGATCATCAGGGCCCTGATGATCATTGCTGATCTCTTTACTGACAATTGCCGATTCTCGGCAGTACTTTCCTCATGCTATGACAGCAACTGTATTTACCCGGTGATCTGATGTGTCATTGGACACAGCTGATCATGTGGTAAAAGGCGGCCGTGATTGGCCGTTTACCATATGATGTGATCAGCTAGGTCCTTAGGACACAGCGATTACTGGGTGCGCGCAGGGGGTATGTTCTGAAATGATGTACATGGACGTCATCCCAGAACCATACAACTACACTGTAGCCGTCCTTCAGCTATAGCACGGTTGGGAACTGGTTAACGGTGTGCACACTTATGCAACCATACTATTTTAGTTTTTTATTTTTACTTCCTTCTACCTAAAAGATTTCAGTTTGTTGTTCAACTGAGTTGTACAGTTTATAGGTCACATTAAAGGTGGAAAAAGTTCTGAAATGATTTATCTTTGTCTCTTTTTTTTACATCACAAAAATCTGACATTTTAACAGGGGTGTGTAGACTTTTTATATCCACTGTAAAGTAGATTTAAACCCAGTTATTATAACCTCATATCATGTAGCTTTAAGGGTCGGTTCACACTGTAGAAACACAGTCCAGATGCGTTCCAGATGCATTTCTGCACGCGTGTTTTTGAAGCGTCTTGGGTGCGTTCAGGTGCGTTTTTTTATGCATTCCAGTTAATTTTTTCCCCTCTCTTTTTCTTCAGTTTAAATAGGGTCATGTGCATTCCAGTGCGTTTGTAATGAGAAGGGCTGCATTACAGGGATTTATGCCTGTAAGAGATGTTCGCACAGCACATTTTTTGTATAATAATCCCCTATAACTGATCGTGTAGACACACATTTCACAGGCATTGTCCACTGTTGTCACCACCATGAAGCCCACCCTGAGCAATCATGTGCAGCTAAACACTGCAGGAGAGCAACAGCACTGAGATGCAAAAAAAAGGATGCAATAAAAACTGGAAACAGATATTTTCTAAAAGAAAAAAACATAGCAATTGTTTATGAAGCATGTTGCTATATGAAAGTAAATGTAATTCAATATGTAAACCTAGCTTTTCATATTCCTGATATGTACCTGCTTTTCTATTAAAAATTGACCACACTAGGCAGGAAAGCACAGTGTGGTCAGTTTGCTGGCTGTACTGGGAACTCAGTCTACTCTCCTCCAATGATTAGACTTGTGCTGACATGCCATCCCCCCTCCACCCCCAGCACAACCATTTACTGGGAAGACCAGTGTCCTGCTGTTTCTCCACCCTCACCTCACCATGCAGCTGAAAACAGAGGGTAAGTGATCACTTATAAAAAAAAAGGGGGAAACACACAAGTGTTTTGCCTTTCATTTCTATTTTAAACTGAATGGGCTGTCTCTGAACTCAATGCTTTCACTAAACTGGAACACGTTTGCAGACATTGAAGTCAGAACATTTGATCTGATTGTTGTTTTGGGTCAGTAGGTCAGTAGTTCAGAATTTATGGAAGCCTGAGGCTTAGCATGACAACCTGGGAAGTTATGGATGTATGTTACGTGAAGGAGAAATAAGCAATGTCACATTTCATTTTTTCCCAGTACTGGTTCCTTCAATGCATCTGTTATTGTAGTAGATAGCTTTGATTTTTTTTTTTTTACTTTATAAAAGTTGTATTGTATTTTAGGATTTATTTTTAAAGACATACGTAGTCCAGGCAACTAACGGACTCCCAGTTACATCACGGGTTCAGTTTTCCATTTAGGCATATCTAGTAATAGGTGGTCACATGCAACTGGACTCATTCTATATAAGGCTCTCATTCTATATAAGGCTAGGTTCACATCTATGCAACTTGTGGTTGATGCGTTTTTCCGGTGCATTCTGTGGTGCTTTTTTGCATTTTTGGCCCATTTGTTATATTTTTTTTGGGGGGGGGGGGGGGGGGTGTATAGGAAAGTATGATTGTTTTGCTCATGTAGTGTGACTTTGGTTTAACTTTGATGTGACTTTACACTGTCTGGCACTCAAGTAGCCTCAAAGTTGTGCAGGAACCTTCCAAAGTCGTATATTTTGGGCTAAAAGGAAAGTATGACAGTTCAGTTCATGTACTGTGACTTTGATGTGACTCTCTGGCACTCAAGTAGCACAAAAGTCACATAAAAGTAGTGCAGGAACCTTTATGTGTCCAAAGTCGCATGTTAGAGTTAAGGGCTAGGGTTAAATGTTAGTGTTAGGGTTAGGTGCTAGGGTAACAAGCTAGAGTCTGGGTTAAGGGATAGGGTAAAGGGTTATGATTAGGGGTTAGGGTTAGACTTAAAGTGTTACTAAACCCCGGACCCTGCTTTCACTATATCTGGTCTCCCGCAGTACGCAGAACATAGAAGTGCAATTATTTTAGTAAATATAAACTGCTAAATACTTTTTCTCATCAGCAGTATATAGCAGTCTTGTGACTTCTATCAGTGCCCAGCAGAGCACAAGCTTGTGGGAGGAGTTTCCATTTTGCTCTATGAGGATGCAGGACCCCTGACCTCTGTCTGCATAGTGCTGATTGGCCCTGTGCTGATCACACTCTCCCAAGGAAAAAAAAAAACTATCTAGTAATACTCACCAAACTGAGCATGTGCAGAGTGACTCCACACGATATGTCTTATCAGGAGATAAGAGGGGGCACTGGAAGAAAGGGAGGATCAGAGAAGTCAGGATCAAACAGCGGTTT